AAAAAAAAAAAACCCAAGCTTAAAATACTATAGCTTCAACCTTATATCATTAAAGGAAATCTTAAAAGTGAATCAAAAAAAATGAACTTTATGGCTTGCTACTCAGTCAAAACTTTTGTGGCAATTTCTTCTCTATGCTTCATATCCATGTATATGAAATTGCTGGGCTGGGGAGATAGCTCGGTGGCATAAGCGCCTGCTTGGCAAGCACAAGGACTTGGAGTTCGATCACCGGTACCGCATGCCCTGCCGGCCTGGAACTAGGTGTGGTGTGGCGCATGCCTGTAATTCCAGCACTCGGGGCTGGGGAGATGGCTCAGTGGAATAAGTGCTTCTCTGGTGAGTGCAAGGGCCTGAGTTCAATCCCCGGTTCTGAAAAAAAAAAAAAAAAAATTCCAGCAGTGGGGAGGCTGAGACAGGAGGATCACTATGAGTCTGAGCTTCTGAATTGTGTAGCAAGACCTTGTATCAAAAAAACAAAACAGGGGGCCTGGCCCTACCTCACTTCTTTGGGGCCAGGGAGATGGTTCAGTGGAATAAGCGCTTCCCTGACAAGCACAAGGGCCTGAGTTCAATCCCCGGTTCCACAAAAACAAAACAAAACAAAACAAAAACAAACCCCCAAAACAGAAATTACTGCAAAGTTGTAGTAATACGGCACATGCAGTTTATTTAGAATTTTAATTTTTGACGCTGGTAATATTCACATCATTTATAAAATTTTAGAAACCCTGGTGAGATGATATGACTTGAGGGATGCCACCTCACAGACTCTGCAAGTGTCTAAATTAGGCCTCACAACCAAGGAAGCAGGAGGAAGGCCGGAGAAAAGCTCACTTGGAAGTCAAAAGGGTAGTTGCGCTCTTTCTATCAGTTGGCCGAGATGCCAAAAGGGAAGAAGGCCAAGGGCAAGAAGGTGGCCCTGGCCCCTGCTGTCGTGAAGAAGCAGGAGGCCAAGAAGGTGGTAAATCCCCTGTTTGAGAAGAGGCCAAAGAATTTTGGCATTGGACAGGACATCCAGCCCAAGAGAGACCTCACCGACTTTGTCAAATGGCCCCGCTACATCCGCCTGCAGCGACAGAGGGCCGTCCTGTACAAGCGGCCGAAGTTGCCCCCTGCGATTAACCAGTTCACCCAGGCCTTGGACCGCCAAACAGCTACCCAGTTGCTTAAGCTTGCCCACAAGTACAGACCAGAGACCAAGCAAGAGAAGAAGCAGAGGCTGTTGGCCTGGGCAGAGAAGAAAGCTGCTGGCAAAGGGGATGTCCCCACTAAGAGGCCACCAGTCCTCAGAGCAGGTGTCAACACTGTCACCACTCTGGTAGAGAACAAGAAGGCTCAGCTCATAGTGATTGCACATGACGTGGACTCCATCGAGCTGGTCGTGTTCCTGCCTGCCCTGTGTCGCAAGATGGGGGTCCCTTACTGCATCATCAAGGGGAAGGCCAGGCTGGGGCGTCTGGTCCACGGGAAGACCTGTACCACTGTTGCCTTCACCCAAGTCAGCTCGGAAGACAAAGGCACACTGGCTAAGCTGGTGGAGGCCATCAGGACCAACTACAATGACAGATACAACTACATTGACATACGATGAGATCTGCTGTCCCTGGGGAGGCAATGTTCTGGGTCCAAAATCTGTGGCTCATATTGCCAAGCTGGAGAGAGCAAAGGCTAAAGAGCTTGCCACTAAACTGGGCTAAGCGTACTCTTGAGTTTTCTGTGCATAAAAACAATAAATTATCCTTAATCCAGAAAAAAAAAAAAAAAAAAAAGGGTGGTTGCAGGCTGCAGGACTAGGTAGAGGAGCTTGGGAGTGGCTGGGCATCTCTTGGGTGTGTGGAGTGTTGGAAGAGATTGCCTCCTCTCTTGGCACTGCCCAGCATTGCCTCTCGTTGGTAAAATTTATATCAGACCCAAATCATATGGGTAGCCCTACTTCATCTGTCTATGATATTAACAATTAGTGTAGTAGCTCTGACTATTAATATTTACTTTATCTTAGGAATTTTAAAGGAGTTTTGCTTTCCCTTTTACTGGTTTTCTGATTGCTTCTCTCAGTGCATATGTCAGGTCTGGACTTCATGAAATCCCTGCCACCTCTAAGGCCAAGTGAGTCATGACGGTCACTGGAAGAGTCTGATTTATATGAGCATTTATTAGTAGTATTCAATAGGAGGTTGAATCACCTGGACTGTTTTTTGAATTTAGTAGCATTTGGTTTTATTTTACTTGCCAAACAGATTTTTTTTTTCTAATTTTATTTTGTAGTGGAGATTCCCTTTCAAAAATTTCAAAGGCAGGTATGGTGGCACATGCCTGTAATCCTAGCTCCTTGGGAGCTCAAGGCAAGAGGACTTCAGTTGTGAGTACAGCCTGGGCAACTTAGTGAGATTTCTGTCTCAAAATAAACAAGGGTTGGAAATATAACTCAGGGTAAGAGCGTCTGCCTAACATGTGGGACTTTTGCCAGTATATGTTTTTTAAAAGAAAGAAACAACACCAAATTTTAGAAAAATTCTGAAAGTTCTGTCCTGTTCTTGTGCAGTATTTGAATTTGTTTGTTTTGAGATCCCATTATATATACTATTTTGTAGAGCTCAACAAAATGTATTAAACACTTTTTTTTAGGTCAATACATATAGATATAAGTTTACCTCACTTCTTTTAAGACTTTTATTAGTGGTTGTACCATAAATTATTTAACCAATCCTTAGTTATTATGCTACTTTCAGTTCATTTTCTCCCCTCACCTTCCTCTTCTCTTCTCTTCTCTTCTCTTCTCTTCTCTTCTCTTCTCTCCCCCCTCCTCCCCTCCCTCTCTCTCCCTCTCTCCCTTTCCCTCACCCTCTCTCTCTTTTTCTCCTTCCGTCTTTCTCTTTGTTTTTTTCATGACACAGAGTCTCTTCATATACCTCAGGTTGGCCTGGAACTTGCTTCAGCCCTCCTGCCTCAGCCTCCCAAGGGCCAGGATCACAGGTGTGGGCTACCCCCCTCGGCACTGTCATTATTCCAAATAAATTGTGCTGCCACGTTTTTCTCTTCATTCCTTGGAATGGATTTTTTTGAAGTAGAATAGCTGAATCAAAGATTAGGTACATTTAAAAATTTGAAACAGTTCTCAAGTGCTCTTTGGAAAGGTGGTATTTTTACATTCCGGACATCAGGGTAGGTTCATGCCCGAATTCTTCCGTGCCGTCATCGAGCCCAGCAAGCCCCGCCGTGGGCGGTTTAGCAGCGCATCCAGCTGAGGGAGAAGAATAGCTGCTCTTGTTTCCCATGTGAAAGTCTCCTAAGAATTGAATACATGAAACAAAGAACTTTTAAAAGACACTGGACTCGGCATCGCAGGGGCAGATCAGTGCTCCGGCGTGCGGCACAGCCGTGCTAGCAGCGTTCTTCACCCCGCCGTGCCGACGACTGTCGGAGCGGGTAGGCCGGTTTGCGTAGACACACAGTAGTGTTTCCTGCGTTGTTTCATAATACCGAGAGCATACTTGAGACTTTAAGGAAAGACAGCCCGTGGATACAAAGTTTCAGAGGTCATCCCCAAATTGGAAAAGCTGCGCTAAGAATTTTGGATTATGAGCCAGATCTGGGTTTTTCAAATGATAAAGATTTTATGAAGAACAAAAAAATCCTTGAAATGTGAAAAAACATTAAAATTAATGCCTCAGCAAAGAATTATATAAAACCTTATGGAACTAATTATACTTCTTAGATGGTAATGTGAGATAGTGCTTGTGCATTATATAAGATCTGAGGATGAGATTGTTCCCTAATTTACATCTTTCGTTAATACTAATTAGGAATAATGTAATTTATTTTAT